TGAGCTCAAACAATCCGCCCGCCTCAGCCTCTCAGAAAGCTAGGATTACAGGCGTGAGCCACCACGCCCGGCCTCATTGCCACTTTCTTAACCATCTCCCCATTCATAAAAACAACATAAAGAACAAAAATAAATTTCTATCACAGCAGTACCATTATTTCATAATGTATTTTCTATCCATTTAAGCTCAATTTCAGCCCTAATTTTATTCCCTAACTGGAAATGCAACAAAGGGTGGCTTTTGCCCCAGTAATTAGTCAAATGTATGTTCTGGCTTTGGCCTCAGCCTAACAACCAATTCCTCTACTTTGATGTCATTTCTGGCATCCCTGAACTTGTCATGATCCATGATGATGCAGGTTACCCCATATCCAATTACAATAACATCAGTTTTATGAGCAAAGCATGTCATTTGGATTTACTGTTAATTAAATTCTTTTCTAAAGAATAGGAAAGTATTATATATAGAACTGGAGTTAAATATCTCAAATGCTCTGTATGTTGAAATATTATTCATTGTCATATAAATAAATGTTTATTATTATACAAACAAAATGTTGTGTAATAAAAGGATGACTATAAAAGCTATTAATTTTATGCTCAAAACAAACAGATAAATACACAGGGGAATTGACAGTTAATATGAATATTAAGATAACATTTAGGATAACTTTAGGAAGAAGACTATATCCCTTCTGAGTCAACAAATATAATTTTAAATTTTTAATTAGATTTAAAAACAGAATAACAAAGATTGAATGTTTTCATAATTGTAATGTTTATAAAAAATGATATACTTAAATTCAAAATATGAAACAAAATAATATTTAAGAACTGTATTTAAGTTAGCAATTAACTTCAATTTAGGTCATGAGTCTTCCAAGAAAGGCGTATTTGGGACTTGACACGATCTTGTGAGGAGAAACTAAAAGCAGAATGCTAACTTTGCCATCTCAGTATTTCTTGAAAGGAGGAAAAACTCCAAAAATCACATGCATCATAAAATTATCTTTGATTTACACTAAATTCATATTGATTACTGTACTCCCAAAATTCATTCTATGATGATGTCAGCTTTGAACAAATTGTGAATTTAACTTTTGTCACTTGCCATTCAGTCAAATTGGGTACTTAAGATACCTCAATGTTAAAATACTTTCACCCAGGAGAAAGACTAGCTTGTTTTTGTAAATAAATTTTTATTCTTCTCAATTAGTACCAGAAGCAAGGCCAAAAAAGTAAATAAAATGTGTACAACTTACTATATACTAAAAGAAGCCCACCTATACAAGGCAAACTCTGGTGCTGAGCAAGAGTTTAACAAGATCCAAAGCAGCAGCAGGGATTTCTGGATTTCTGAACATATAAAGATTATATGTAAAAATATATATAACTGCCTTTGAAGCCTCTTATAAGTTCTCCTTCACATTAATTCTGGGCAATGTGCAAATTTAGTAGTTATCAAAGGCTCAAGATACTCTCCCAACAATTTCAGAAATTAATGTTACATTAGACTATTCAGATAAAACAAGGGAAACTATACCTAAGAATAAACACCTTTCAAAAGTTCCCTTCTCCTTTCTCACATCCTCAATTGTCATACATTGAAAAGTAGACAATTCATCAATATTTATCACTTTGAGTACCAAGGATTAAATATATGCAATATACAAAAAACAGATATAAACAGTGATATTCTGTTTACACAAGAAATGTTAATTATTTAAGGACAGCTTTTTGTCATGATTATATTTATT